GCGGGTAAGAGAGCAAACGATGTTTGGAGAAAGGAGTGCAGAGAGCAGAAAATGTCGGTGGCATGGTTTTTTATTTGCTCTGTTCAAATGCAATAGTTGTCTTCAATGTTCTCCATTTACATTTTTCACTCGACACATGTTCGGTGTCATTGAGTGCGCCAAAAAAGGACGAAATAGAAAATTGAGAGACGAGATAGTGAGAGGTGGTACGAGGTGAATGTGGAAATTTGCAACGAAACGAGAAAAAAAAAACAAGCAAGCAACAACAATAAGACACGGTTATATATGCGGATAGATGTTGAATGGTATAGGCAAAACAACATACTTGTGTGTACAACGTCGGATGTAGGGTATGGAATGCTGTGTTTTTGGTGTTGGCACGACATTCAAAAGAACACCACAGCCAAAATGGGAAAAAAAAGAACAACAACCGAAATTTATCGAATGTATGCAGCGCATAGTGCAGGAAAATGGTAATACGGCGTCAACAACAAAAATTTCACTACATACAATTTTACAAATGAATATTTAATCAAAATTGTCTTTTCTCTCTCTAGTTGTTTTGTTTTTCAATTGTATCAAGTGTATGTGCGCTGTGTGTGTGTGTGTGTTTTTTTTTTCCGGTGTATGTTTCGTTACTAGCTCTCTTTGTACTTCTTTTCTATTTCACCGCATTTCTTTTGCTTTGTAATTTTTTTTTGTTGTTCTTCGCTCGTTGGTTCGTTCATCGTTGTTTGTGCTCATTCATTCGTTCGTTCTATTTGGCTCGTATTCCAATTTTATTGCGCGTTTTCGCCGCATATTGTGATACGATTTCGGTGAAAAGGTAGTTGAGACACCAATTGAAAGTTTTCTTTTCGGATGTTCGACACAAGAATAAGAAGAACGATTGCTTCGTTCCCTCATTCTACGTGTTTCGATTTGAGTAAAGTTCCGAAGGTATAAGAAAAACGACGATCCAAAACGGAAAAAAAAGCGAGTCAAACACCGTCTCTGCGGTGGTAACAAAACAATTGAATGTGTGAGAAAAAAAAATTGTCGGCTCCTCTTCAACACGCCGATATGGTGTCGATAGCAAATAAAAACCAAGTGCTCAACCTGTATATCACATCCAATTGTATGTGGGGTTGAAGAAGGAACGGAAAAAAAGCGTAGCGTATGAGTGGGCCCGAATAAACAGTGTTGCGAGAGAGAAAAAACCCAATTGAACATAAAGAACGAAACGCCAAATTATCTGATGTGTGCACAAGAGAGTGAATGTGCGAAGCAAATGAAACTCACACACCGAACGAAAGAAGAAAAAAAAGAACATTTGACGCACGCCAAAACAATAGATTCTTTTACCATGCCCAATAAAACTTAAAGCACAATGGCGTAAAAATTCGAAGCAACACCAACGTTGACTTGCGACTAATAAAATCTTTTATTCAATTTTATTGCAATAGTCTGTCTAAATTATGGCTGCATTATCTTTTATTGCAGTTTTCAATCATTTGTAATGTTTTTTAATGCTGAACATTTTTGCATTTGTGCAAATTGCCTCGAAACCGATTGTTTTATTTTTTTCGTTCTATCGCTTTCCACCGGTGAGATTGAGCCACGCGCATTACAACGAGACAACGAACACATTAACAAGACACACGAATCACATCTTCCTGGCTTCAATTTTATTCTTTCAATTTTCTTTCTTTGTTTCAATGCTCAACTTCATCTTAGCGCAATCCCAAGATGTAATTGGCTCGAAATAATTTCCTTTCTTCTTCAAGCACCATTTGGAATGTAATTTGGCGAATACGTATTACTCGCTTTTTTAATATGAGCTACGTACAATGTGATTTCATCCCAAAATTATTGCTTTGGCACTATTCCTTGATTGAATTCAATGAAAGTTGAACGCAAAAGAAATTTAAAATTAAATTTTTATACACTTCCAACAAATTAATATTCGAAATATTACTTTCAATCATTTCCAAGTTGGAAATTCCAACAAAAACGAAACAACTGATGATCAATTTCGAAGCAGAGATCGAGGAAAATTCGATTCGACTCTTTAGATAATAAGAGAACTGACTCTGGTGATAACCTCCAAACTTTTAAATCATTTCGATACAAAAGATTTGAATGCTAAAGCCTCCTCAGCTCGAAAGTGATTTAAGAAATAATCTTCGTAGATTTAACCTTAACAACTTACCTCTCGTAGCAACAGATGATCTAAAATCAACAATGCGACAGTTTTTTCTTCCAAAAATGCAATTTTCGCATAAATCTCTGAGAATTTTCTGAAGTAATTTTCTGGAATTTATGGGTCCATTCCGTTGTTTCATTATTTGATGTCGAATCTAGTATTTCCGCTGTTTGGATGATGGAATAATTTCCAAGGGAAAATAAGTATGAATATGACATTTGCTAGAGAGAAACGCAGCCACCGTGCAATTCCTCTGCTATATAGCGTGTGATTGCTAAAAAAATCAGCAAATCTTTTAAATCTTTGTTGGAACCTTTTTTCTGTTTGCGAGAAAACATTTCGAAATTCCGGCCATTCAGCACATACAATGCTTGGTGTAAATCAGCCAGCGCAATTGCCATAGAACAAAGGGCGAAAAACAATTTGGAAAAAAGCATTTTGCCATTGTTTTGAATAAAATATAATCGTTGAATTTGTTGTTTTCGTTAGTATTTTTTATTGTTTTATTGCATACATACATATATTCCGTGTGGACGCATGGCTTCGAAGGAGCGAACAGTGGTTGGTGAGATGGTTTTTTAAGCATCATTCGTTATATGCCTTTAATCTTGAAGTGTTTTTAGCTCGCGCTTTGTGGATTTCAACGGTTTTTTTTGTTGCCGGTCTCCATACGTTGACTACAAATTGTTGCATTATCTTATTCGCATTGCCAAACAGTGGCATTCATGGCCTCTTCGAGTAAATCGTTGGCTTTTATTATTTTTTTGTTGTGTGTCTGTGTTTTTTACGGATAAAAATAATGTTCAAAGAGCGGAAATTGCGCGTTTTTTATTCAACCGGAATGGATTCACTTTGACAATGGGGCATTATTCACTTTTTCACGCGAAACTACTTTGTCATTGTATCACATATACTTTTCTTTATAGTGGTTCATGAAGATGCCGAGACGGTGAAACGTGCACTGCCACGTATCGATATGTGAGCACAACAATCGTGCAATATTTAAATTGTGCCTATAAATATATTTGCATATGAGTCGAAAAAATAAAAGAAAAATACACCATTCACATACATATACCATGCACTTACTGCTGCCAATCAGCTCGATGTTGGGAACAATAAAACAACTTTGCGTCCTGTTCCCACTTTGCCGCAGCATCGCAGTCAAACAGAGAAACGCGCTCCACAGACATAGGTATGAGTGCATCGCATCCGTTACAACATCATCATCTTCTCTGTTTTAGCTTTTATTCGGATTTTATTGCCACATTTGAGTCAAAGTCAACGCCGTTCTGTTTACTGTTATTCACTTATTTGCTGATTGTATTGCTCCCATGGAGATAATGACTACATCTTCTGTGGCGCCATTTTTCTTCTACCCCTTCATATATTCATGTGTGCTGGTTCGGCTCCGTATGAGGGAGATATTAGCATAAAATCATACAAAATGTCGTCTTTTCGCTTGAACTACCACCGGCTTTGGGCTATTTTCATTCGCAATCACCATATCACACATGAACTAAATGACAAGAGGTGTGGCAACATTTTGATTAATTTTTTTTTTGTTATTCTGATATCACAAAAATCATTCAACCACTAGCAACAAAAACCACGACAACATTTTTAAAAATTAAGACTTTTTAACAATTGAACGCATTTCTTATTCGGTTTAAACATTAAAGACGTTTATTTTTCGACTGAAAAATTGAAACTGCTCAAAATTTTAAACGGCGACGAATCTTTTCAAATTTTCATACATTTTAAACATTTTATTGAATAATTTCATAAGTTTTAAAAATTCAAAATCAATCTCATCCCATTCACATGCATTCAACTCAAAGAACCATTTAATATAATCCTTTCAAATGAGCTGCAAAAAAATGTAACCGTTTTTTTCTTCCAAAAGGACATCGAAAATGCATTGCAACACCATGTGAACCCTTTCAACTATATAAGAACCCATAAAAGCAAACGGTCTTTAGTTGGTTCTATGGTGTAACGGTTAGCACTCTGGACTCTGAATCCAGCGATCTGAGTTCGAATCTCAGTAGAACCTGAACTCTTTTTTTCTATCATATTTGGTAGTGGATTTTTATTTTGTCCTTTTTCGAAATGAAAATCGTAACTTTTTTCTGAAATGAAATTTTTAATTGAATTTTTCCGAATGATTTTTGATATAGCACGATTTACAACGCAATTGAATGGAATACAATGGTAAATGTTAATTGTCTGCGTAATTCATCCGTAAAATCTTATCCATATTTAGCATTTGAACTCAACATATTCGACTCAAGCGATTTCGTAACAAATTGACACAGAAAACATCTTTTGATTGTGAACGAATGAAAATTACACTCATCAAGCTCATGTGGAGGTGTATCTATTCACTCACATCGAATAGGTGGAGACGGTTTTGTCTATTTGATATGTGTATATTACTGTATGCAGTATGCCACTTGCTCTTATTACTCGTTGCAAACGAATATGTAGGCTTTTTTGACGATTTTTTTTTTGGTAATACTTTCAAAATCAAAGGGTTGAAATCGATTGAAATATAGTAATTGAACATTTTATGATAATGATTGATCAAATGAATTGAATTAAATTACTTTGATATCGATTAGAATCGCGAATTGAAGGAATTTGAAACACGAAACTATAGTCTGATTGCCTTTTTAGTTCTTTCACTCACCAATTGATTCAAGTTTACCACATTAATTTGAATGGAGAACGTACTGAGTAGGAAATTTCGTCATTTTACCTATTTTCTATTCCAGCTGCAATCAAATCAATTTCAAATGATTAACAAATGGTATTTTGGATATTCTTTAGTGTTTTTATTTAGTTTATTGACACGTACGAGATTTCATAGATTATGGGGTTGATGTTGGTTTTGTTTGCATATTTGCTAAATTGAAACAATATTCATTTGTTGGTTTTTATTTAATTGCTCTGGGCTATTGCATTGTATTTCTGTGGGACACATTATTTTATGGAAGAAGACTCTTAGTGTGTGTGTTGGTATGTGTGTTTCGATTGCATTATTCTATTCTCTTCTGAATCTTATCACCTGAATGTAATGAAAATGACTGTGCCAATGTGTTGAATATCGTTTGGAAAAAAGTTCATTCTCAAAATGTCTAAAAATATTTGTTGTTTTCTTTTCTGTTTCATTTTGTACCAATTCGGTCGCTTAAAATTACAATTTCGAAATTTTGGTTTCACTCATCAATTGATTTAATTTGCACTGTGCATTGTTGTCGCACCATTATAAATTTTCCGTTCGAATTTCATTTCTCCGTTCTCCAAATTGTGAATTCGTTAGTGCATATTTTATATGCGTTTATAAAACAACCACTAAATATGATGCTCCACAGTCTTCGGAACATTGTATTGCGTCGGCGTTGATTGCCCATTCTTTTTTTATCAATAATTAATACTTGTGTTTTCTTTTTATTTCCTTAGATAGATTGTATATCGAATAATTTAGATCCAAATCTATTCAAATGACTAGTATCATCTACTTGAGCAATGTTCCATTGCCATATAATTTTGTTTTGTTTGTAAAAAAAATTCAACTAATCTAAGATGTTCTCTACGAATAGATTTCCTCAATCATAAAATGAAAACGAATTTGAAACAAACAACTCAAGCAAATTGAACAATAACATAAACATGGATAGGCTATGATCAATCTATATGTAATGTACATTCTTGTTTCACTTTATTGTTATACCTAATGTGGCTAATTGAGTAAATTTTTTGTTGCGGCTGCTTTGCTTCGAATAAATTCGGCGCATCATATCCATTAGCACACTGGCTGCGCAAACATTTTACCTCAGAATCACATGCTCTTCAGCTTCATCGCTGTGGTTTTCTTCATTTATCTGTGGGAAAAGAGCGAAAAAGATTCAATGAGTCGTTTTAGTAAAAAAGTTTTTTTTTGGAAATAGCAGTTCCATAGGTGGTTACTATTATTATAGATAGCCAATTGATTCAATGTGGTTAAAACTACAAATTTTGTTAGTTGTTTAATTTTCTTGTGGCATAGACACGTTGTCAGAACCTACCTCAGGTGGTGGTGATTGAGAGCTATCACTTTCGACCTGTTCGGAGTAGCAATTCTTGTAGCTCAAATAGTCATGAAGTCGTCGTGGCAAAGGAAGCGTCTGAATCAAGTCCTTTCGAACGACTGCACGCCGAATCACGAACCTATAGCGAAATTTCAATGAAAACATGAAAATTAGTATTTATCCGGCAAATTGCATTGAAATGAAAGAAAATGAAATGATCACAATGTTACAGCTCAATCACTTACCGACACATATGTTGTAGACTTTGAATGTGTTTGAATCGTGATACGGGATTGGTGAGCTGAACTCTCATTGGGCCATGTTCGGGTCGTCGATGGAAGAAGAACAGATACCTATTGGTTTGCATATTGGTTTAGATTCGATATAAAAAAAGCAAAATTCACAATCGCTTACCTTCCACTGCGTGAACTCTCCACCGCATTTTCAATAAACTCCATGATAGTTCTTGACTTGAATTTCGCACATGAACCAAATGAAAAAGTTCCTTGATCCTGTTCGATTCGTACATGACGCACGCAATTGTTGAGCTTGAATGTCAGCGAGAAAATGTAGTGATCATCAGAGCTATCGCGCACAATGAAACTTCCATCCGGTTCATTTGACAGGATTTTTTCAGCTGCTTCACTTGAAATCGGTCCCCAATACCAGCCATACTGTAAGTGGCAATTGAAATGAGATTAGAATCGTTATTTTAAATTCTGTCAAAAAATTCAATCAAAACAGTATTTCGGTCACCTCTTTGACTTTTTCAATGTTGGTCGCAAAGTCCATGGTTGTTTGAACGTCATTCTTCTTTCCATCGCGGTCTTCGTTGCTTTCTTCGGCAGCTGAGTTGGACTCAATTGTTCCGGGTGACTCGATGCGAGCTGTGCCTGCAGTGAAAATTCACATTTAAATCAAGTGAAACACACAAAACAACAGAAAATTCTTCGATTTCAATCAATGTTACCTTTGAGTTTTGGTGGCAATGGTGGCAGAGCTCGTGTTGAAAATTTGACTTTTCTCTCAGTGCCGCCGGCAGCTACTTCGTAATCAGTCATATCGCGTTGATTTGATCCGGTATTCGAAGCATGATGGGTTGAATAGGATTTTCGAAAGCGGAAAATGCTGCAAAATTTTTGCTTTAAATTCAAACTGATGGAAAATTGGGATTTTTTCGCTGATGACTGTGCTGGTTGTGGTGTATTGTTTGTGGCATTTGTGGTCAGACCATCGTTAGTTTCTTTGGCAATACTTGGCGACGACGAGATTTTCTTAATGTTGCACGCATTTTTTGCGGCAATTTTTGATGATACATTTGGCAATTTTGAATTGGTTGTGGTCGCATTATGATTTGGTGTGCTCACAATTGATGTGACCGATACCGATGATGATTTTGTATGACTATTTGCAATGGAACTGGTTGCACCGATCGTGTTATTGTTCAAATTATTGTTGTTAATGTGTGACAAATTGAAATTTCGATCACTTTTTAAAATCACAATTGATTTATTCGCTGTGTTGTGATTGAAACTAGTCGAATTATTATTGTTATTGTTTGAATGTTTGTTGGATGAAAATGTGCCGAACAATGCAAGTTTGTTGATTCGTCCACTGCTATTGCTGTGATTGCAGTTGCCATTGAAATTTGTTTTGTTCGACATATTTTTCGTGATTGCTTTCAGTTCGAGTGCTGATTCGCTTGAGCTCGAACACAAACTGGTGTACATCATTTGCTGTTTGACCTCATCCAGCATTATGTGTTTTGGTTCGGTAATCACATTTTCCGGGACACTGTGCCGTTTATCGGCCGCACTGTTACTGCTGCTCGATCGGCACGATTTCGATGGGATCACATTGCTGGCACCGTTGCAGCCATCCAAACTTTGCTGGCGTTTTCGTCGCTTATTGTTGCGCACATACTTCAAACGGCCACGGAAATGTTTTGTGCCACTTTTGAGTAGCATAGTGGTGCGCGTGGACACTGGCAATTGCTGGATATCACTGATTGTGTTCTGCATCGAAACGACCGATTTAAGTGTGGATTTATCGCCCAATATGCTTTTTGCTCCGTTGCAACCACCATTGATGCTGTTGCGGCTGGTGCACGTTCGACTAGTGTTTAAGCTAAAAATAGGCCGAATCACATCAATCGGCAACGCATAAATGTCTGAATCAATGGGAACATTATAGAAATCGGATATTTCACGACTGGTTAATGCATCATGCGACATGGCTTGTGTTATGAATATTGAATCGTCGGCTTTGTTTGATGATGATATTGTTAATGAATTATGTGAACTGGACAGTCGGCTGTTCAGTGAATTGCGTGAATTTGGACGATTGCCCGTCGACAAATTACTATTGGCATGATAATGTAATGGACTGTACAGAATTGATGGTGTTTTACGATGCTGAAATGTTGTGATCGACGTCGATGTTGACGACGATGACTTTGCCTTCGACACCGACGATAGTGTCGACGATTTCGAGTGAATGTTGTCATTGGCCGTTGCACTTGACTCGGATGGCCGCAGTGAATTGTTTGTCGATGCCAATGTTGATGTACCAGATGAATATGGTTCGATCGTTTTATTTGTACAGTAGCTTTTGCCACATTTTGTTTTACGCTGATAATACAAATCGTAATCGTGGATTTCGTTGGCCTGTTCCATTTGCAATCGATTGCAATTGTCCGGTGGTTTCAGAATCATCGAAACTCCGGCTTTGGTTAGATTATCGTCAAAAATTGTGAAATGATCGTTGCGCTCCAGAATCGAGTCACAGCTTGCATTCGCTGGATATTCATCACATGGAACATCATAAATATTGTCGATATGCGTATTAAGTACAGAATCACTAGCATAAATATCATAAGTATGGTAGAAGTCATCCGTTGTGCGATGATACAAATGGTATTCGCATTGATACACCTGACACTCTTCGTCTTCGTAATCGTTTCGCTTGCGCGGCAATCGTTCGTACGAGTATGGCTCGCGTTCCGATTCGGTCGGTAAAATCTCGAGCGATTTGGTTTTCAATGGATTCATTGGCACCTCGTCGTAAATGGAATTTGGATTATTGCCGGTGATGGCTGTCGATACAATGTTCTTGGCCAATTTCGTTGAAAAACTCTGCACTGCTTTCGATCGCAGCAACGTTGTCTGCGGTGAATCCTATAGTTTTCAATAAGAAATCGAAAGAATTAGAAACCGAGCACAGAAGATTCAATTCAGTTGGATTTACCTGAAATTCCGGCGGTGGATCAATCGGTGCCAATGGCACTTTCTTCAATGTGTTGAAATTCTCCGCGCTCATGCCACCGTCTGAACAATTTTCCAATGAATCGAATTGTGACACTTCCGCATCACTTTCGGCAGCCAACTGAAATCAACAAAATCAAATTCAATTTTTGACATTCAGAACAAAGTGCTTTGTTTTGTCATTCTTAAATGAGTTCAGTGTATAAAAAAGAACTTACCTCAAATTCAAATTTGCATAGGCCCATTCGGGTGGAATCACCGCTCGAAATGGAACTATTTGTGGTGAGCGGTAGACCAGAGTCTTCAGACAATGATGACGTTGTCACACCGTTTAATTCGAAGCTGTTTCCGCTGTTGAGCTGGTGTTGCGAATGCGATATGGCCGACGGTGAGATTTCAATGGCAGCATGTCTCACCAGCAAATGATGATTCGACGGAAATGTTGTGCTCATTGAATTGCTGCTTGCACTTCCCACCGCGCTCGTGTTTATCGCATTCGAACCGTATTCCGTGGACAATAACTGTTGTTCATGGCTGTTCAATTTTGCCATTTCTCGAATGGTCAAGTTCTCCAGAGAACTTGATTGTATATTGTGTTGTGCTCTGTGTGTGCTTTCTTTTGTTTTTCTATTCGCTGGCTGGCGGAGTTTTATCTATCTCTCTGTTTCACTCGATGTCGTCTCACACTGTTTTGTTAGCCGCGTTTCGTCGTATTTAATCCCTTTTTATGGTTGCTCAACTTTTCCTTTACATTTACTTCCGCTTCTTGCATTTGTGCACACAAAATCCATCACTCTTATCACATCGTTCGCTGATTCATTGCACTACGGGCTTAACGTTGCTTATGCGGTTTATGCACGCAACGAATGGGAGACAAGTCCTCGATGATAACGATGACGCGCGTTGTGCACCAAGCGAATGCATGAATCAACACTCATCATCATTGTGTGCACACACATCGAATGA